GGCAGAGACTCGTGGTGCATCTCCACAGACTTGACCTCAGTGGTCAGGTTGGGGGGAGCGAAGGTGACGACCATGCCGGGCTTCAGAACACCGGTCTCAACACGACCGACGGGGACAGTTCCAATACCTGAGAGAGCAGGAGGCAAAACATTTGTGGTGCACTCTGTGGTTTACTGCTTTACCAGACACAAGTGTGTGAAACAAAGGAAAATTAACGTTCCAAAAACATCCCCAAATTTTTCATAAACAGTCGCAAAACCAAAGGCCAAAATGAACAACTCTGGGCTCCATTGTTTTAGACATTTGTAAAAATTTTGAAATGCAGCACGTCTCTGTGTCACCTTGCTGCTGCCTTACTGGTAACTGTGGCAGTCATGTTAATAAAGCATCAAGTTAGGAAAAATATGTGTGGCAGCTGTCTGATTTAGTAGCGTCCTGACGCTCGTGCTAATGCTAACCTAGGATTTTTATGCTGCTAACATTCAGAAGCGAAAGGACTTTGATGACAAGTTTCCAGCAACATTCAAACTAAAGTGATGAAGTGTATCTACGACGCTCTGCTCCGAGTAGAATTACATTTTAGAGGTGGCAGTAAATACTGACAGATTGGCTGCGGCAGTATTTGTGGACACCTGCTCCATCTGAGCAGCTGTTTCCACCAGATATATTACCTACACTAAACAAATCACTCCATCATACACTTTAGCTAGGAGGATGAGTCTGTTTGAGAAGATCAATTACATTACAGGTTATTTACTGCGGAGGACTGCAGCTCGTTTGCTGTGTGTAATATTTTGGATTTTTTAGGCCAGTTTTTGAGTAGTAGTTCTAATTAAGTCTCTATTTTTGCAATTTAATTTAGAATTAAAATAACCTGGTGTTCACTTCATGCATTCTTCCAAGTGTATGTGGTTGAAAATAGTTTTATCAGCATATGGAAAACATAAAGTGTATTTCATTGTGTTCAATAATTATTCAATTATTGATTGTTTTCATGGCCAACAATCAGTTTTCTATTTTGGGACTGTATTTTGGTTTATGTTTAGCTTTATTTGGCCATCGTCACATACACAAGTGTGACTCTTATCGTGGCAAATGTAGTTTCCAGCTGTGTATTGATTAAAATGAATCCTTTGTGGACATAAAGATGACACTGCTGGCTTTGAACTAGTCCTCAATAACATGCCATTCTGGCATAAACAAAATCCCTTTATTTTAACGTGACACTTAAAATATTGCTGAAAATAAACCCTGTGCACTAACAACATCCTGTAAAAAACAACAAATTGTGCTCTCTTTGGTGTAACCATGAAACTACTGGTGGCTCAGCTGTGACCAACAGCCATGTGACTTTTTAGGGACTAGTTGATAGATCCTTTGGCTGAAAGTTCATCATATTATCTATGCACTGTTGGCATCATTAAACACTGAAACAGAGAGAAACAGTTGGGTTATTAGTGTGACTACATGAGGAACATGGTGAGAAGACTCAAGTTTATAAACTTAAAATCAGAGCAATTGGTGTGTGTTTCCTGGCTTATTAACATCATTTTCTATTCTTCTTAACAGGAGAAATCATTAATGAATCCTCTCTGGGCAGGTTTTACCTTGTGCTGCTAACAATGTTTATTTCAGTCATATTACTTCCACCCAAGTAAGACTTCCATCATGAACTTTATGTAGAAGTGCATGTGTGAAAGGAGCTTCACAATAGAGTTTGTCAGATAAAGGTAATGTTTCTATTTGATGTTAAACAGGAAGAAAATAGTTCCTGTTTCCATGCTTTTTCCCTTTCCCCAGGTCCTTCACATTTCCCATAAAGCAAGTCTGTAGGACAGCATTCCTTTACCTACATAGTATCGTCAAAATCGGGACCATCCTGTCTCAGAGTGGTGCTGAACAACTAATCCATCCATTTGTAACTTTGAGGCTGGACTATTGTGATTCCTTACTATCAGGATGTCCCAGTAATTCTCTTAAAAAGCTCCAGTTAATATTTTTCCCATATTAGCTTCTCTTCATTAGCTCCTTGTAAAATCCGGGATAGAATTTAAAGTCCTGCTTCTCACATATAAAACTCCTGATGACCAAGCTCCATCCTATCTTAAAGGTCTTATTGTCCCATATCATCCTGCGGAGCTCCAAATTTCAATTTTCAAATTTCAATTTTCGTGGAAGCTAAAGGGACAGAAGTTGCCAAGTAAAGACCAATTATACAGTCACACACATCCTGTTGTGTATGTGTGTAGACTGCAATGTGCCACACTTGATTTACAACACATTTGTGGCTGCAGATTCTTATACAGGTTCCTCCTCAACATGATAAAGATGTTTGCTTGTAACTAATTTTAATTAAATAACTAATTAAAATTTCAAGTGGTCGCATTCGTGCGAGTGAATGATGATCATATAGTTGTATTGCTGTCGCTTTAACTAGCACAGGCAGCTACTGCATTAGCCACAGTGGAGGGAAGCTCAACTTATTCTTCCATGGCTCGTTTGATCTGTTTCTGCCTGATGCGTAGCACGATCTACGAAGCTGATGTTTGTTCTTCAACCAACAGAGAGTCGGAGGGCCGACTCAGACTCACCTGATGATCAGAGTGCAGGTGCAGGCAGGAAGATACTAAACCGGTGAGCTAGCTAGTTACAACGGCTAACGCAGTAGTAAGGCAGCAAAATTAACTAATTATTAACCACAATCATAATTTTACCTTCTAACCACTATATGGAAACGATCGACTGTGGTCTCTACATTTTAAAATGCGCTCTGCTCATAAAAACCACAGCGTGTGTAGGTGCAATGTTTTCTCCGCTCATAGAAAACAGAGCATGTGGATAAGATTTTCCAAGTGTCCACTTTTCAAACAAATTTTTGCTCAGACAACTGTACAAGCAAATCGCAGCCACCAAGTAGCGTCTATCGCAACCTACAATGTGAGGTGTTTGGGGAACATTAGTAAATGTGGTGTCTACCGATGAGCACCTGTGACCAGGTGAGGGGTGTGACTAACTGACAATGTTGGTCGCACCAGTGCGACTAGTGAACAAGTTAGTCTGGAGATCTGTCCTAACAGAGCCCTTCGCTCTCAGACTGCAGGTTTACTTGTGGTTCCTAGAGTTTCCAGAAGCAGAATGGGAAACAGAACCTTCAGTTATCAGCTCCTCTGTTGTGGAATCAGCTCCTAGTTTGGGTTCGGGAGGTAGACACCCTCTCTACTTTAAGATTAGGGTTAAAACTTTCCTCTTTGATAAAGCCTATAGTTACGGCTGCTCAGGATCACCTGATCTGTCCCTCAGCTATGCTGCTATAGGTTTAGACTGTCTGGGGACATCCAGTGATGCACTGGGCTCCTCTCCCCTACCTATCTATCTTCCATACAGCTATATGTCACCATTACATGTCACTAACTTTTTGTTTCCCCAAAGTTCTGTGTTTGTTGTCTCTGCAGGTGTCTCTGGATCCAGAAGCTACACGTCTCTGATCTGCAGTTTCTGGCCTCACCGACCCCCAAAATGTTCATTGTTCTGTCTCAGGGGAGCGCTCTGACGTGGTGGAAGTGTCCGGAATGCACAGGCAGTACTTTGCTGCTGATGCCAGTTTAGTTAGTGGTCACAGTTCTGCTTCCACCATCGGTGGCAGCGGCAGCTCCACTCCCCCGCCGCCACCATCCGAGTTTACTTCCGTAAACACTGAGCACGCTCGCTGCGTGTAATGTCGTCGTGTCCTCTTCTGGGCATGCGGGACACTTTTGGGTCGTATGAAGTTCACACAGCAGATCACATACAAGTCGCATTTAACTGGAAATTTGAACGAACTCACAAAAAAATTTGATTTCACAAAAACATCTGAATGTAGCATTAAGTCCTGCAGTGTGAACGTAGCCAATCTGTGGGATTGTTCAGTCAGATAATACGCCGTTATCCTGATTGGTGACATAAAATGTCATGTCGGAGTCTGAATCCAAGGCTGTTGCTATGTTAAGGCTGTTCTTCATGGGTTTCATTCGTTTTTTCTAAAAATCCGTCGGATAGCAAGGTTTAGGATTGTTAAGGGTTGATTATCGAGGCAAGACTGGACTAGTAGGTGCTAAGAATTGAAATATGTTGTGAATTACAGCTATATAAAGAAAACGGAACTGAGGTAAACTGAACGGATGATGATGACTTACTGGGTTTACAGGATACAATGTGACTCCACTTACCGCCGATTTTGTAGACGTCCTGCAGGGGCAGACGCAGGGGCTTGTCAGTGGGGCGAGTAGGGGGCAGGATGGCATCCAGAGCCTCCAGCAGTGTGGTGCCGTTGGCATTGCCCTCCTTGCGCTCAATCTTCCAGCCCTTGAACCAGTCCATCTGAAGAACAGAGTCAAAATTACAAGTCAGTCATTGATTTGCA